TTAAGAGCACCCCCACACCCCAAATCCCCAAATCCCAGGCAACCTCACCCCTCTTTTCCTGCACTCACACATTCCTTCTCCCACTTGAGGGAGGTCTCAGCCACCATTCCCTGCAGCCTGGCCTCCAGCCTCCTCTTGTCCGACGCCTGCCTCTGCAGCTTCTGGCTCTTGCTCTCCAGCTCCTGCTGCAGGTTCCTCTTGTCCTCCTCGTAAATCGTGGCTGTCTTCTCCAAAATCTCGATCTGTGGCGAAGAGAGGAAGGATTTGGGTGGGAACACAGCTCTCTAATGCAGGAATTCCTGCTCCTGTTTCCCCCCGGTGAATCTCCGTTTTCAATCCTAAACCGCTCGTTTTGGCGTTTTAAAAGTTTTAACCTCGTAAAAAAGCTAAAAGGTTTTCAGCAAAAGTTCCCCCCTAAAATATTTCTTCCCGAATTTGTTAAATGATCCATAAAAAAGTGGGATTTGTTCTCCAAAATGACCCAGCTGACCTTGTACTCCAAGGTTTTGATCTTCTTCTCCAGCCGTTCCAGCTCTGTCTTCTGCCCCGTGATGGTTTTCTCCTTCTCAGCCAGTTTTCCTTGGATATAATTTTCCTTGGATGCCACACTGGAGTCAAATTCTTGCAGCATTGTTTTAAAGGCAAGAACTGGAAGAAAATTCAGATATTTTCTATTTTATCTTCAATCTTCTCCTTTTATCTCCAGAACATCCAAAACTCCGTTTTTCCCAACCAATTAACTTAAAGCCTAAAATCCCTCAAAAAAAGGTTGAAACCGTCAATCTAAACAAGAAAATTGGGGCAAGGGGGACCCTCTGAGGAATAACAAGGGCACCAAATCTGAGTTTTGTCCTGATGTTCCAATTTGGGGCAATTTCCTACCGTTTTTGGTAAATTCCTCAGCCAGCATCTGCCTCATTTTGTGGCGCTGCTCCAGGGCCTCGATCAGTTTTGGGAGCGTTTGGTCATCGTTGATATCCAGGAGCTCGCAGGGAGGCAGGGGAGGGAAGCTCTGGAAAAACAGCTCAGCAGCAGATGGCTCCTCTGGTCCTGCAGGATGGGAAAATTCCAATGGAAAAGGGGTAGGAAACTGGGAACGATTGATGGATTTAGATACGGGTTTCCAAAGAGGTGAGGGATGGGAAAGGATTAGATGTGATATCCTTGATTCCTTCTTTTACTAAAAGCAGGTCCTGGATATCCAGGAACATCCCACAATTTCCTGTCAGGAGACGCAATAGTGGGACCATGGATTTATCCCAGTCCTGTGGAATTCCTTGGAAACCTCCACAGGGATGCTGAAGAGGGAAGAGCAGCAGCTCCCAGGGCACTGAGGCTCCTCTGGCACAATTAAGGCTCAGTGGGATTGGTATAAAATTTAATTCCTAACAGAAAACTCTGCTGGAATCATGGAATGGTTTGGGTGGGAAGGGACCTTAAAGGGATCCCATTCCATGGGCAGGGACACTTCCCACTGTCCCACATTCCAACCTGGCCTTGGACACTTGCAGGGATCCAGGGGCAGCCCCAGCTCCTCTGGGAATTCCATCCCAATATGCCCAGCCCAATCTCCCCTTTCCCAATGGGAAACCATTCCCTGTGTCCCATCCCTCCATCCCTGATCCCAAATCCCTCTCCAACCCTCCTGGAGAGCCCCACCAGTAAAGAGGAGGGCACAGGGACGTGAATTGCCAAAGATTCCAACTTGCACCTGACATCTCGTGCTTTACCTGCACAGGATTGTGGACTTTGGGATTTTTAAATGTGGGAATCAGTAGCATTGCAGAACTCTCCTAGGTAATAGTTTAAGGGAAATATGGGATTTGATTTTTATGTCATGCTTCTGCCTCTTTACTTTGTTTACTATTAGTGGTGCCTCCAACGCATTTGATGATGATTAACAAGTCTGTTAAGGGAAATTTTTATGGTTCCAAGAGGAGGGGGGACCCCTGGAAAAGCGCCCTGACTCCTTTCCCAGGACGGAATTCCTTGGCCCAGCCCTCACCTGCTCCCACGGGGCCTCCCCTGAGCTCCAGCTTTCGGGCCAGCTCCTCTCGGAACGCCTGGTTCCGGAGGCGCCGGCCCGGCGTCAGCCCGCACAGGGGCCTGTCCACGGGCCTGGCCACCTCCACCTCCTGGGTCATCTCTGCAAAACGCATCACTTGCTGCAAGGAAACAGGGAAAAAAAAAAAAAAAACAAACAAAAAACACCAGGAGCACCCGGATCCGGCACTGGGAAAGGAGGGTGGGTAAAGTGGGAAAGGAGGAATTATCCGGCTGGAATCGCGAGGAGCCGGTCTGGGATCTTGCAGAAAGATGCCCCCAACAAAGAGACACAAAATTCCACGGGGAATTCTTGGAAGAGGAGGGATTAGACATCTAAATATGGCTACACGGAGTTTTGTGAGGAAGGAGATCTTTCCCACTTTCCAAGCAAGGAGGAGGTGTGATACGAACAGGAAAAGAAGATTTGGAGAGCAGATTTATCCCACAAAATTACAATTGAAGCATTCAGCATCCTATCTCTTGGAGTAAAGGAATCCAGAGAAAAGTAGGAAAAGAAGAGCAGGAGGGAATGGAATAAGGAAATTTACCAGGAATTCTGTGAGGAAGGAAAAATGTTTCTCACTTTCCAACCAATGAGGAGGTGCAATATGAACAGGAAAAAAGGTTTGGAGAGCAGATTTATCCCACAAAATTACAACTGAAGCATTCAGCAACAATTATAAAAATCCCTATATCCCTTGGAGTACAGGAATTCAGAGAAAAAGAGGAAAAGAAGAGCAGGAGGGGATGGAAAAAGGGAATTTACCAGGCTCTCCTCATAGTCCTCAGCCTTGGGATTCACACACACAATCATCCGAACTTTCCCTTCTCCATCAAAATAGTTCTTGAAGAGATGAGTCAGTTTGGAATCTCTGTATGGAACCATCTGGGAATAAAGGCCAGGGGAAAATCCAGTGAGTTGTCCTTTTCCAGGTGATCAAATCCAAGGATAATTAGGGATAATTGGGGAAGGGCTGCCCACCTTGTTTGTTCCGTACAGTTGGTTTTCCCGCAGAACCTCGATGCACGTCCTTAAAGTCATCAGTGACTGGTTGATATTCCCTAAAAAAAAGCAAACACAAGGGAAAAAAAACTCCATGAGCAGCCCTTGGATCACGTCCCCAAATTATTCAGAAGAATAAGTTGCCTAATTAACGATATTTGTTAATAATTTCTCTAATTAACTGCAGTGGCAGAAGTGCTGCTGCAAAACCGTGGCTTCCAAACGGGAAGATTTAAGGTCATCAAATCCAAACAGAGCACTTCCAAGAATTCCTGGGATTCTTCCCTTAGGAGACAGGATTAGCAGGAGCTTCATGAGCAGGGTTAATTAGCAAGGGTGCTCTAATTAGGGGGGGCTCCTACCTGCCTCTCGCAGCCTGTTCCCCTCGGCTTTGGTCCGGTTGGTTCTCTCACTTCCCGCCAGATCCACCAGGGACAGCTGGCTCAGGGTGATCTGCTCCTTTTCCTGGGATACAGGGGAAATCCTGGATCCCTCCATATTCCCTCCAAAGGGAACGGGGGACACCTCATCCCAAAAAAAACCCCACTTCCAAAAAATGTGTTGGATACAAGCTCAGAGGGGTTGAGACAGCTTTTTTTTGGGGGGGGGGAAGTTTGGTAGATCCCTTCTGCCTCGGGTTTAAATTGGATCATTCAAATTCCCAAAATTCCAGATTCCCAAGCAAAGAAAAAGATGAAAACCAAAAGATTTTTGGGGTTTTTTTTTTCTTGTTTTTTTGGGGTTTTTTTTTTGTTTTCTTTTCTTTTGTTTTTGAAAAACAAAAAGCGGCTTCACCCTCTGTTTTAACACCAAACTTCAAGATCAACCCCTCCAATTAAAAAAAAAAAAACCACCTCCAAACTTGAGGCACGGGAGGTGATTCCGAGGCAAATCCCATCAGATTCTCCTGGAATAAAAGGCAGAGCTCACCTGCAGGACGTTGTCCCCGTCTGCATCCAGAGGGGCCTGTGCCAGTTTGATGATGAACACCGAGTGGGAGCGGCTGGATTCGCGGTTCAGCTGCGTGTTGGCGATGCGCCGCTTCTTCTGCCCTGCTCACACAGCGCCCCACATTCCCAAAAAAAAATTCCTCCCCAAAAAAAAATTCCACCTCCAAAAAATTCCCTCCCCACAAAAAATTCCCTCCCCTCCAAAAAATGCCCCCCAGAAAAATTTCCCCCCAAAAAATCCCCCCCCAAAATTCCCCAAAAAAAGTTTCCCCCAAAAAAGTCCCCCTC